GTGTGTGTGTGTGTGTGTGTGTGGGTGTGGGTGGGTGGGTGTGTTTTGTATGTGTTTGCATACATTTGGCAACATTACTCCTCCATGTGAGTATAAGGGCATGTGTGTATTTTGGGTGAGAAACAGGAAAGCTGCCTTTCTCACCACTTCTACACTCATTCTTGTCTTTGTGTGTGTGCTTCGGTCAGGGTTAGTTAAATCAGTGGGCTGTGGTGCGTTACCCCCTGCAGCCCATCGATCCGGTGCTCGCCCCTGCTGGCCTGCGGCTCCTCAATGCCTGATCACTGCCTGTGAAGGGCATCAGTGTGACAGCTGTGGCCCCCAGGGGAAACATGCCAGCGAGTCACAGCTCAGCAGCTGCCCCGTTATGGCCGTGTTCCCTGACTGCATGTTACCATGGTGTCACACACCAGTACAGGGATGGGGACACCACAGTGCCATCCCAGGGAAACCGAGAGCTGAATGACCTTCTCTCAGGGTTTCAAATGGTCAGCTAACCTGGTGGTTAAAGTAGTTAGTGTGCTGTACTCTGACATGGGCTATGGGTAGGATGGTGCTGGTTAAGGTTAGGATGGTGCTGGTTAAGGTTAGGATGGTGCTGATTGGGGTTAGGATGGTGTTGGTTGGAGTCTGCAGCTTTGCCTTCACTCCGTCCTACAATCTAATTATCTTGCTATTGATTGATGGGGGTTAGGGTTAGGGTTAGGTTTAGGGTTAGGGTTAGGATGGTGCTGGTTGGAGACTGAAGCTTTGCCTTCACTCCGTCCTCCAATCTAATTATCTTGCTATTGATTGATGGGAGTGACCCACGTCAATCCGCAGCTTGTGGCTTCCAGCGTCACTGTTGTTTCCGCTCCAGTTGTGGTGGCTGTCCTCTTCTTCCCTGAGCCAACGTGACCCAGTGGCATCTGCTGTGTTGTGCTGTCTGGCAGATCTCACTGCTCCCTGGCCCACACAGGCCACACAGGAAGCTATGATCACATGTATGACTTTGCAGTTGTGACTTTGTGAGTCCAGCAGCTGAGAATGAAACTGGAAAGCAAATGAAAGTAAACCAGCTGTGAGTGGCTGAACTGTTCATCTCCATCAGCCCCTTCAGTGTCCCCACGACCCTCATAATGGACCGCGAGCTGCTGGTGGACCAGGGAGTGGGCAGTGGACACCACTGCTATGAGGATGATGAGGGTGAGTAAATGAAAAGGGATTTGGGAAGGAGATGTAAACAGGCCATAAGCATACATGTGTTAGCAGCACTTAACAATACCACTATGTTGATATGTTCATTGAGTAAACAGTAATTGATTGACTTTTGCTGCCTCACAAATATTCAGCATCAGTAATGATCTAACTAACTTCACACCCTCTTGGCACTGCAATATCCTATTATCTTATTAATTAGCCTATTAATATCATATCATCCTCTTAATTATCCTATTATATCCTGTAATATCCAATAATATTCTATAATGTCTAATTCATGTTGTACAGAGCAGCATGTCTTTCAAGATATGAGTGGGTTATATGTCTTTCACTGTGGTCGGTAACCTTGGCCTTGTGTTTTGTACCACAATGTAGCTCTGGAAGGTGACCTTCAGTCTACAGCAGGTTTCTCCTATAGCTTTCCTTCCCAAATCACACTCTCCTGCACCAACAGCTTCTGCCGACATGTTTTACTGTAATGCTGGAGTCTGTTTTTCAATGTCCGTGAGAGACTGAAACACTTCTGGAGGAGGGAGGTGATCGGCATGTTTTATCCCAAAGATCATCAGTCCATCTACATCGGCGTCCCTGTGCCACGGGGGCCCAGGCGTAAACGGAGACGCCGGCGCTCCACATGCAGCCGATACTACGGGGACCACAACCACAACGACCAAGAGAGACGAGATCAGCTACACAGACACAAGCATCATGCGCAAGAGGAGCTGGGGAGATGTGACGTGGAGGAAGGGGGTCTGGATCCACATGGACATGAAGAGAGCCTGCCTGTGGAGGTCAACAGGACCAGTGAGTCACCCTGTATGCCTTCACGCACAGATATGGCTCTGATTAAGGGGAACGCAAGTTGTGGGCTTCAAAACTCCATATCAGAAGGTAGGTGCACATTGTGAGTTTCTGGAGTCCAAAGCAGAGGAGAAGTACATGCTGAGGCTGTAGGGCCTCCTGAGAGCTTGCACAAGGCTGAAGCCCCCGGCCCTTATCTCTCTACCAGTGTGTCCAGCAGCAGAGCGCCTACACTACATCCTGGGTGATGACGATGATATGGCCACACCCACGCTCTTCACTGAGATGGACACACTTCAGCATGAGGGTGGTGAGCTGGAGTGGAAGGAGTCTGCCAGGTAAACCCGCTCGCACACACACACACACACGCACACACACATGCATGCACACACACGTATGCACACACGCACACACACACGCATGCACACACACGTATGCACACACACACACAC